CTAGCTCCTTTTCATTCCATTCCTTTCGAACCTGAGCCTGAGGTTACTTGTTTGCTTCTGTTATTCGCCCTATTAAAATTTCTCTTCCCCCTATCTTCACCTAAGTTTACCCCAATCTGAGGAGTGATACCTATAACCCCTTTTTATTTAGACGTAGACCCACTGTTTCTCAAAGGGGCGTTTTCTTTCTTTATCGGATTGCTGAACCGAGGTACTTTCAGTATGGCTTCTGCTTTCAACACATCAGAGACGACTTACCGTTCTGGTTATCGTTCCTCTCGCTGCCCTCCCATCCAAGAGACATTGTTTCCCGTTCCTCTATCCCATCAAGAAACATCAAATGACTCTCGAGCGCTGGGGCATCTAGAATGGCAATCTGAGGAGTGATACCTATAACCCTTCTTGTTTAGAGCCGTAGACCCACTGTTTCTCGAAGGAAATGTTTTCTTTCTTTTATCGGTTTGCTGAACCAAGGTACTTCACTATGGCTTCTGCTTCCAACTCATCATCAGATACTGGGACATCTGGGACATCTGGTTGGCAAGAGTTCTGGCCTCAAGGTTGAGCTAGGAGTGAAGTTCCATCATCTTCCTCCCTTACACAAGATTCATATCTTGTAAAGGTAAATCCTCTAATAATGAGTCGAGTCCAAAACTTCTAGAGGAAGGGTAATAGAAGAAATTTCAGGATCAGTCTACCGAAACAGAATGAATAAGATTCCCAAATAAGACTCCTCACTAAGACGACTAGTACAAGACTTGTCAAACCTAAACAAATTTATTACTACCCGACATGTTCAGATGACATCCCAACGACAAGTTCATCTTGTTCTACAAAAAGGCATTTTTCTAGCTTTCCAGAGCTATAAGATGCATATTGGCATGTGCCAATAAACATCTATTCAGAAAGTATCTGGCTTTTGCAGTTGCAGAATTCCTGCACAGGTTCAAGGTTCTACCCTTTGGCCTAAATATAGCACCAAGAGTATTTACAAAGATAATGATTCCTTTGCACAAGGAAACTGACTCGTATGGGGTGGATGTCCTCATGTACCTGGACGACTGGCTCCTCTTGAGCATGTCATGGTCGGAGTGCTTATAGATGATCCAAAACACGATATCCAAGAGCGAAAGTATGGGATAGCGTTCTAAAGAGAAAAATCCTACCTTGTTCCCTCTCGGATGCTTCAGTGGCTAGGCATGAGCGGAATACAGAGTCGGAGTCTTTATCCCTGTCAGAAACGAACAGACTGAGGTGCTGGAGGAAAATATTCCGAGCTCCTGAAAAAACATGCCGAGAGGGAAAGCCTCTTAGGCTCCCTCAATTATGCTGCAGTTATTCCCTTGGGCAGACTACAGTATCATCGACAGTCTTAGATGGAAACCTTGTTTTTTTCAAAGGAAACAAAAGAAAGTAATCCCCTCTCCCATGAGCCTTTGACCAAGACGTAATGTGGATATGAAGAGGGCGATTAAGATTCCAGGCAAGGAGGCGTCTTCCAAACCCATCACTAACAATCAAAACAGATGCATCAGACTCAGGATGGGAGAACCAGTCATCCAGAGGACACCAAGGAAGTGGAGTGGTCAAGACACATCTCCAGACGCCACATCAATCTCGTTATCTTAAGAATGGAACCTGGATCGAGGAACAGGGCCATCCTGGTACTAACAGACAGCACTGAAGTAGTACTGAACAAACAGGGCAGCTCTCGTTTATGGAGACTTCTCCACCTCTCAGATTTTTTTTTTTTTTATTCTTGGCAGCCAAGCGAGATATCTCCCTTCAAGTTTCTCACCTAGAAGGTAGAACCAGTTTATGGATGGATGCCCTTTTGCAGCAAGATCCTTCTATGGTGAAGTGGGCTCTATCCAAACAAAAGTACAGTCAGTTAATCAAGCTCTACATAACTCCCCATGTTTGCCAGTCCAACAAACTGCCTCCTAGAGTTCCTGATAAGAATTATGAGGACAAGTGCAAGGGGACCAGATGCCCTCAAGGAAGACTGGAGAAAAATGGACTTACAGATACCTCTTTCCTCCTCCTCTTACATCACTGATGCTGCAATACTCCTTTGCCTAAAGATTTATCAAGGGAAGGTACTACTGGTAGCTCCACTATGGTACTGGTAGCACAACCATGGACAGCAGACCTGCTCCGGTGGTGTCCTCAAAGGTTTATCGCTTGCCTCTATTTCGTGCTACATGGCAGCAGTTGCAGATCCTGTTTTAAGCATATGGTGTAAAAGGTGATGGCCATTCATTGGATTTATTGAAACGCTCTGTCTTCCTACAGTGCCCACCGAGACGTTCAGGTCTGCCTCATGGCCATTGGAGAAGGTTCGGATCACCTTTGGATCTTTTTCATAAAGCGCCATTCCTCATTGCTTTGGCTCCAGGGCTTAGATCTTCACAGCAGCTCTGCCATGTGGCCCTTCTTTCACCTCTTTCAATATCTTCATCCCCTTGGGGTACATGATGACAAACACCTGTGGAATTGG